TCTCTCTTTTTTTTTCTTCTTTTCTCTGACATATTTGTTATTCACTATCGTTGCTGTCCCTTATTCAAAATGCTGCTCCCACATCTTGACCACATTGTATCTAGACTACTTAAATCATCTAGAGGCTAAGAAATTACAGTCATCGGTTCTTTAATCTTTTTCTGAGCCTTTCCCAAAGAAGCACTTTAGCCCTTCTTTGGTCTCTGTTGTGAAGCACTTGAGCCCTTCCAACTTGAGTCAAAAAGTTTCTTTTCTTTGGCCTTTTCGCCAAAAACTCAACACGATTAACAGTCGAATTCCGACTTCAATCTTTCAAATTATCCTTCCCTGAATCAAAAATACTACCTCGCCTCGATCAAACCAAAAATCTCTATTCTCCCTTCTCATAAAGATCCCTACTCGCTTACTCATCATGGCAACGGAAATTGTTCGCGAATCAAAAATTCTTCTCAACAACGACAACTACGCGCTCTGGTTGCTCCCAATGAAGGCCAAACTCCATAAAGCAAAATCCCTCACCATCGTTACCGGAATCCATACCTGTCCCGACCCTGAAAAGGACAAAGAAAATGCTAAACTCTACGTCAAACTGAATGAAGACGCCTACGCCGAGATTGTTCAGCACTTGAATCAAGAAGTACTTGCATATGTTAGTTCTACCCAAACCGAGACCGACGAATTCAATGGGTACAAGTTATGGCAACTTCTCAAACAAAAATACGCCGGTAACGATCTGACATCACGAACCACCGCTCTCAAGAAATACTTAGCCGTCGAATATGACTCCTTCTCAGCGTTCCTCCCTCTCATTCGATCGGCCAATCAGAAGATTGTGCTCTCCAAACTTGCCCTTGACGATCAAGTCAAAACTATCTTGATGCTCGACAAACTCCCTCCTGAATTTCACTCTTTCAAGACTAACATCTCTATGAATTTCGAAACCGAATCCTTTGAAGAAGTACTGAAAAAATTAGAAGACTTTGCTGCGCAAAATCAGTTGAACGAGCTCAAGAAACGATCAACCTCCCCGATTTCGTCTCAAGCCACTATGTACACTCGGTCTTCTGATCCCGATATTGTCTGCCCTCATTGTAAGCGAGGATTCCGAGTATGCTCCCACTGCTTCAAGAGTGGTCACACCGAAGACAGTTGTTATCAAAAGCATCCCAAAAAGCGAGCTCCAAAGTCAGTCGCTTCCTCGTCCAAACAACACTCATCTCATCTGACTCGATACACCCAGGAAGACAAAGAATATCTCCAACAAAAGTATCCGGACCTTCACCTATGATAATCATCGTTCGATCTTGAGTTCAGGAGGGTGTGAAAATTCACTCGATCTCCTCTTTTTTTTCTCTTTCTCTGACATATTTGTTATTCACTATCATTGCTGGTCCCTTATTCAAAA